ATCATTATAAACTTACGTATATCTTTCACAAGAGCAAATGCCTGGATAAGTTTTAATCCTGGTTTCCTCTCCTCTTCTGTTAGTTCCCGGCAAAATCCAAATCGTCCATCTGGTTGTTTGAGGAGCTTCCTCAATGGCACGACTTCGAGCACTTTTCCATTCATCATCAATTTCACTTGGCACACTTTGGTGAGCCAGCCCATTAGCTTGTCTTCGTAAACTACAAGACCTGTCTCTTATACACATCTGCCCTGTCGGGGACAACCCTTGTGATCGTACTAGTATACAACACCTCGCACACACGCTAAACAGTTTTTAATTCCTAAAATTTGACAGCTTTGTTAGGCATGCTTGAATAAGTTATATGCTGGAAAAGTAGAAACTTAACAGCTATTACCTCCACTATGTGATGCTAATGACTTGTGTGGTACCTAACATACACAATTCGTAATCCACACCAACAAATACCTAGCAAACATAATATTGTGCTAGCTGTATGATGAGTATGAATCGTTACGTAGGATGCTCTACCAAAGAAAGTGGACTAAACATACCTGGTGAGCCACGTTTCTACCCTGCACACAGAGTTCGTTGACGAATGAGATAGTCTTACTTACTCCGTAAAGTCTTAGGTTATAGGAACCGTTTGGAATCTCAAACTATGAAAACACATTTTGAAAGCAGAACAAAAAATTTAACATCTCAATTGCTCTTGGTTTAGTACTATCATTTCCTCATCCTCAACGTTGTCATCGAGATCATCAACACCATCATCATCATCATCATAATTACCGTTGTCATAATCATCATCATCATCATCATCATTATCATCATCATAGTCACAGACGTCGTCGTCACCATCACCGTTGTCGTTATCATCATCACCACCATCATGAGAAACGCGTTTAAAGTCACCTGATCTTCATATGCACTGAACCAACGTCTTCAGGAGCATTCACACTTAATCCGATGGGAAACACGTCCACCGAACCAATCAGAAAACTCAGATACATGAAAGAGAAGTTTCGTTCAGCGCGCGCATCGGTCCGAATTTTAGTTCGGTCTGCTGTGAATGGACCTTTATACTATATCAATGGCAAACTTGAATTTAATAGCTTTGGTGTGAAAATGTCTTACCTCGTATTCCATTCTGTCAAGGAAACCAGGGTGGGTGCTGTTACTGGTTCCACCAATGAATCCGTCGTAAGTGTTACCAATGACAGCAGTAAGTTTGTCATCCGAAAGTAGGTCAACAAACTTCCTGACGCATAAGAGACCTGTCACCGGTATGTAGGAAACACATAACTAAATCAATGTTTACTTACAGTGAATAAAATAGAAAGTGGAATGAAATAATAACAATAATAATAATAATAATAATAACTAATAATAGGGCCTAATAATAATAACAATAACAACAATAGTTATAATAACAATAGTAATAATAACTTTAATAATAATAATAATAGTAATAATAACAATAATAATAGTAATAATAATAATAATAACAGTAATAATAATAGTATAATAATAATAATAATGATAATGATAATGATAATAATAATAGAAATAATAATAATAATAATAATAATAATAACAATAATAATAATAATAATAATAATAATAATAATAATAATAATAATAATAATAATAATAATAATAATAATAATAATAATAATAATAATTATAATAATAACTAAGACGTAGCCTACCGTGTTCTTTGTGCATTCGAAAAAGTGTTTGTGTGTCCTGGAATACAATCCCAGAAAGTGCTTCGTACGCTGGTCCTCCGCAATTTACGGCCACATGGACGCCTTTCGGTTGGATCGTCATCGTATGCGGCGATCCACAAAGCTCAATTGTTTTGTCAACACCATCTAAATTTACATAAATATATAAGCAGTAAACTGTAGAAAGTGTTGTGAAAGCAAATGGCGCAGAGGCAAGGAACTGAGCTTTGAAGTCAATCGTCATAATTTCTACAACACACACAGTGTGAGCACCTTAGCTCAGTCGGCTAAACCAAGGAGGTATTATCCTTGGTTAAACTGATAGCAGCCAGTGTAGTGTATTATATGCGTTGAAGTGTGGATCTCTTGGTCATTTCAATAGCGCACGTAACTTGTGCAATATGGCCCTTTAACGTGGCCCATGTGTATGTTAAGGACGCTGGACCTCAGTAATTTACGGCCATATAAACAACAACAGCAATAGCAAAAACAGTATGAAAAATAATAATTATTATTATAATTATAAACTTACGTATATCTTTCACAAGAGCAAATGCCTGGATAAGTTTTAATCCTGGTTTCCTCTCCTCTTCTTTAAGTTCCCGGCAAAATCCAAATCGTCCATCTGGTTGTTTGAGAAGCTTCCTCAATGGCACGACTTCGAGCACTTTTCCATTCATCATCAATTTCACTTGGCACACTTTGGTGAGCCAGCCCATTAGCTTGTCTTCGTAAACTACAAGACCGCTCCTCATTGGTTGCTGTTCACCGGTCACTAAACATTCAGCCAATCGAGTTCCGTTAATTTCGACAGGTGATAAAATATTTGAAAGGATCGTGTACCGGCAGGGTCCAGCAGGCCCGACAGCAACAAGGTTGTCGTTTTTATGGTAAATTGTCCACGCGTTACCTGACGAAAATGTGCCACTCATACCTTGGACAAACGTGCAATCTACCTTACTTTTATTGAGACTAACGAGGTAAAGGGCAGAAGTAGTCTTATCATCATCTGCCCCACGACCATGAGAGCAAAGCACTAACATGCTTCCCAATGGTAATTTTTTCAAACCATTTAGGAGTAATGTCTCCTCGGAACCAACAAAACTTTGCGTGTGATTCACTAACGCTTTCTGTCCTGTTATCTTAAGTTTTGTATCTTCTGGAGAATTAACGAAGATAATTACGGAGCTATTTTGAGGGCCTTGTATTTTTAGG